GGTCTGACATTTTTGTGTAAAGCTAATTAACTGCTGCTGTCTCAAAAGGCCATCAGCTGAAGGAACTCTTGTACAATCTTCTGCAGTGAAATGTGGTTGCTGTCTGTAGAGCTACAGTGAAAACTGTGTTTGTATTTGTTCCTCCAGACCCATTTGCTTAGCTTACACGTCAAAACAACGACTTGTCTGGCTGTCAGGATTGCAAACTCATGCTGGCATCCAAAAACTGAGCTGTGTTCTCCTAGCATCGTTATCCACCCCCAGTCATGGAATTTGTTGTTTGCATTTATCTTTGTTGATGCTGGAAGCAAAATCGTCCACCATCATGACAGTGACACCCATTGTTGTTAAGGAAATGCCTTCAGCGCAAGGCGCTATTTTCAGCTTTCTCTAAAGTTATCCTTTGTATGCTCATCTTTCATATGTATCCTCAGCCCAGAGGTCATTTTCTTCCCTTGTGAAAATGTAGCTGAATGCTGACCAGGTATTCGTGAGATATTTTGGTCCTAGATGAGGTGATTTCACAGTTAAAGCTTTAAAACCAGTTGTGGTTTTGTTTTTTGTTTATTTTGTTGGTTTTTTTTTCAGCTGGACAGTTTATAAGTAGCTTCATTTAGACACTCTCAAAAAGCTGCTCATCTAGTCCTTTGCAGTGATGTTGCTTCCACTGGTTTTACAGAAAACTGGTTTTCTGAATGTCAAAATCTGTATGAGCCACTGCCCTTGTTTTGGCTGGGATAAAGGTGATTTTATTCTTAAACCATGACAGCCACACAAAGTATGGGACTGCTCTTGGAGTTTTCATTTGTTCCTTATTATTATTTATTATTATTATTACTTTTTTATTAAATCAAATCTTTCAAGGAGCCAAATCCGGAGTATTTTTCTTGGCCACCAGAGGAAAAGGTGGTTAGGGCATTCTTCTGAAGAAGGAATAGAAGAGGAATGATTCGTAACTCTTGCTTTGAGCAAGAATAAACAAGTTGTTCCATGAGCAGTATAAATGATAAAACAAGCTTCCTATGGATTGTTATTCCATGTCACTAGGCACTTTCCACTGCAGAAGTTAAGTTAGTCTTCTGCTCCAATTCTCTCCTGAAACCCTCCATCCTCTTTGTGGCCCAAACACCTCCTAGTGATGTGTCATGGTCCTTCCTATGATCACCTATTCCATTCTGGAAGTACCTCTATTTCCCTCTTCCCAGTTCTGCATAACCACACTCCTGTGTCATGCAGCCGTGCCTGTACCTGTTAGGTACTGGATAGGCAAGAGGCAGAACTGCCAGCAGCACACCTGGAATTAAGTGTGTCTAGAGTGAGGCCATCAGGCAGCCAAATTGTGTTTTCTGCTATTCCACTGCTGTTTCTCCCTAAAACCACAGGACTGGAAATCTGGGAAAACCTCTGCTCCCATAGTTAATGTGACTTGAATTTGCCAGATGGTTAAAAAACTGGTGGGGGGCAGGTGGTAGATGCAGATTGATCATTATCTTCCAAAGAAAATGCCCCAAAGCCAACAATGAGTCCTCAACAGAACCTAAAATGTTTTTTCATTCCAGAAATCAGTTTATGTTAGGAACATAACTTTTCACAAATCACTTTCCTTAACAAAAGGGGTCACAGACTTCCATCATCCATTCCATCCATGTACCACTTATAGCTGCTCATGTTGATTCAAAGAGTGTTAGGCATTGTGCCTCTCCAAGTGTTCCCACAAATCTCTTTCGGTGAATATTTGCACCCCTGGGTCCCCAAGCACCTGTAAAATGCTCCCACATGTCTCAGTCACCCAAAATTCTTACCAGCTGGACGCTCACATCCTCACTGAGGCCCAGTCACACTAAACTAAGTGTTTGCCTGAAGAAGATTCAGGTAGAAGTTGGCTACAAATTATTAGTTCTGTTTTATTACTTGGACAGTAGTATAATGACAATGGGGAGACACAAGTATGTAGGTAGATCAGATAAATATTGACTTGTGGTTGACAAAGAGATGTTTAAAAATACCTACAGATCCCTGGCCCTGGCTGTGCACTTTCATTCCTGTTTTCCTGCTTTATGCTGTGTCTATGGATGAGATCCTATCTCACTGGCATCAATGGCAAAACTCCCAGCCTGGCTGCACTGGCAGGGCTGGAATTTTACTTTTCAAAATAATGTGTTAAAAACTCTTGTACTTAGTGTCATATAGGTGGAAAAAATAAGAATTAAATTATTTTGAAGACTCTTTCTGTAATACAAGGAAAATAACCATGAAAAAAGTATGGACTGACCTCATCCAGGTCTACTACTAAAGTCAGACTATGTAGAAGCAATTAAGCAACATAAATACAATTTTGAACTGAAATTCCACACTTGTGGGTGTTTCACTGTCCTGGTTTCATGGGGGGTAGAGTTAATTTTCTTCCCAGTAGCTGGTGCAGTGCTGTGTTTTGGATTTAGTCTGAGAACATTGCTGGTAACACACAGATGTTTTAGTTGTTGCTCAGTAGTGCTTACCCTGATCAAAGACTTTTCATTCTCATGCTGTGCTGGTGAGGAGGGGCATGAGAAGCTGTAAGGAAGCAGAGACAGGACACATGACCCAAACTAGCCAAAGAGGTATTCCATACCACAGCGTGTCATGCCCAGTATATAAACTGGAGGCAGTTGGTGAGGAGGGGCCAGACATTGCTCAGGGAGTGGGCTGGGCACTGGTCGGCTGGTGGTGAGCCATTGTATTGTGCATCACTTGTATTTTGTAGGGTTTTTATGCTTTTCTCTCTTTTTTCCCTTTTATTATTACTGTTACTACTATTATTATATTTTGCTTATATTTCAATTATTAAACTGTTCTTATCTCAACCCAAAGCTTTTACCTTTTTTTCAGTTCTCCTCCCCATCCCATTAGAGGGGAGGACACAGCAAGTGTCTGGTGGTACTTAGTTGCCGGCTGGGGTTAAATCATGACATTCACATGTCTGAGACAGAGGAAAAAGAATAGAAAAGCTTCCCAGATACTTAGGAGTGCACATAATTAAGTTATACAGGTATTAAAAAAAAAAACAAACCAAAGGAAACAATGCATAATTCATTCAGGTAAACAACATAAACATACAACCAAGCTGGGACGGGCAGCCTCCCTCCTCAGCCCATGTGAACTGGTTCTGCCAAAAAGTGAGTGGCAACCCTATCATCACAGCCACTGATGAGTGTGTGTGTACACAAGCAATGAGGAAAGCACTTGAAACAAGATGTCACCTGGAGTTGTGGTTGGGCAAACCTCAGATGATATAAGATTGCAGAGAAGAGAAATGAATCACACAAAACAATTAAATGAGATATATGGAGTCTGCCCTGGAGTCTGTATGGGAGTGAAAAGAAAATGAGAAAGCCAACCATATGCTGGGCTGCATCAGAAGTGTGACCAGCAGGTCAGGGGAGGGGATTCTATCCCTCTACACTGCTCTCGTGAGACCTCACCTGCAGTACTGCATCCAGCTCTGGAGCCCCCAACACAAGAGGGACATGGATCTGCTTGAGCAAGTCCAGAGGAGACCATGAAAATGATCAGAGGGCTGGAGCACCTCTACTGTGAAGACAGACTGAGAGAGTTGTGGTTGTTCAGCCTGGAGAAGAGAAGGCTACAGGGAGACCTTAAAACAGTCTTGCAATACCTAAAGGGGTCCTACAAGAAATATGGAGAGGGACTTTTTACGAGAGTATGTAGGGACAGGAAAAGGAGGAATGGCTTTAAACTGAAAGAGAATAGATTTAGATTAGATATTAGGAAGAAGTTCTTTACTGTGAGGGTGGCAAGGCACTGGAACAGGTTGGCCAGAGAAGCTGTGGCTGCACCATCCCTGGAAATGTTCAAGGCCACGTTGGGCTTAGAGCAACCTGGTCTAGTGGAAGGTGTCCATGGGCAGGGGGTTGGAACTAGCTCTTTAAGGTCCTTTCCAACCCAAACCATTCTATGATATGATTCTATGAGTGAAGAAGACCCATCCTTGCAGATCCTCACAGAGGCTACAGAGCTGGTCCAGGCTGGGCTCTGGATAGGTGATGAGATGACCCTGCCATCGCGAGAGTGTCTGAGTAAGCATCTCCTGCAGTCAGACCAAGCAACAGCATGGGGACATGGAACTCGGCTTTGGTTTTCAAGGGCTCTGGAAAGAAAAGCTTTGATGCAATCCTGGATAATTTGGATTATTTGAGAGGGAAAAAATGTAACAAATTTGCAATGAGCCTACATTAAGCAAATGATGATTCTGCAATCCTTGCACAAAATATATTCCTGAGGGTAGAACTGGGCTGTTCTAAAAAACCCAAATGCACCAATAAAACTAAGGTCCTTAATGTTTCAAGAGCAGGAATCAGTAATCACCATCTGTGGCAAATTTCACAGCCCAAGGAGCTTGAGGGGTATCTTCGAAGTGAGAACATCGCTCTTCTTTGGGAAAGTCCATGGCTGTGTTTAAGAGAGATGCATGCATATCCATACTTGCATATGTGTACAAGACATACATATACATATTCAAGAGAAAAAATAAATGCTGACTCCAAGATGGGACAAACTGAAACCGGGGGCAGCCCAGGAAACACCTTACATCGGAGAGGGAGCTGATGGGAGAAAAGACCGAACAGCCCTTCCACCCAGTGGAGTGGTGACGAACGGCAGGCCCTGGGAGGGGAAGAGGCTCCCCGCTGCAGCCTCCTTGCCTGCCTGTTCTTTCTTAGAGAGTTTTCCAAGGGTTCCTGGTGAGATCCAGGGCAGTTTATCTTTACGTTAAGAAGCCAGTGGCGTTTATCTCAAGGCAGATTACATCCAGGTTTTTACCAGGGTAGCAAACCGACAAAACCAGGTGGAACGGCTGAATTTCTCGGGGCGGTGGGGACCGCCGCGCTCCTCACACTCTCCCGCGGGGCTGGGGGCTGCCGCGGCCCGGCCGGCAGGGGGCGCTCCCGGGCGGGGCACCGCACCTGCTGGACGGGGCGGGGCGGGGCGCGGCGCGGCGCACCTGCCGCGGCCCCGCGGGGCGCAGCGCGGTCCGGGTCGTGGCTGCGGCAGGATGGCCCGCCTGCTGCGCGCTTTGCGCAGTTCACAGCCCGTGGCGCGCTTCCAGCGCTGCTGCGGGCTCTTCCCCGCCGCCGAGGAGGGCGGCAGCGGCGGCGACCCCGCGGAGGGGGCACGGGAACGCGGCGTCTGTAACGGCGCGGGCGCGCCGAGCCGCCCGGCAGCCGCTGGCCGCGGCCCTCCCAGCAGGGTGCGGAGCGGCCCGCAGGTGAGTGCCGCGGGGGGCGGCCGGGCTCGGCCGTGACTCAGCAGAGCCGCCTCCAGCGGATGTGCGCGCCGGGGCTCCCAGGGGGGGTCTCAAGCATACCGCCGTCTGCCCGGGCGGGAGCCGGGACGGAGGGGCCCCGTTGTGAGTGACAGCGCCCTGCGGTGCCGCACGCCGGCTTCATCTCGACCCCGCTGAGGAGGCAGTTCCGAGGTTGTCCGGTTGCTCCCCCGACACGAGATAACCGGTGCGAGTGGGTCTGCCTGCGGAGGTACCCGGGGCAGCTCAGCAGCAGCGCAGCCTCACCCCGGCTGCAAGTTTTCCCGCGGGCACGGCTGCGGAGCCGGTTCCGTTCACCGCGGATCCCCCTGCAGTGGGGTGCACCTGCTGTGTGCTTCCCCGGGCCACGGCTCTGCCCCGCACTGCAAGGGGCTCGGCGCAGGAGAGGAGCGCAGCAGGCAGCCGTGCCCGCGCCTGCGGTGGGTCATGTCTGCGCCTTCACTGCAACTGAGTCCCGCTGGAGACGGGCTGAGCTCCCCCCGCTTCCCTGAGTCCGGGCAGGGCACGGCGTTCCCCACGGTGTGTAGTGCGGTTGTGTAACGGAAGGGAGCAGGGAAGAGCGTGACGCAACCGATGCGTGCAGGTTGGATGACCTGCTTTTTCTCTTACTGTAATGACATGAATTCGTTAGCAGGTCACATTGTGCTGTCTTTTGGAAAGGAAGTGTGATAATGGTCGTCCAAACAACCCGCAAAATAAACACGGGCCAGGCTCAGACACTGCAACTCTGCCAGTACAACCCTTTGTACTGTTTTACCCTTCTGTGTTCTACATCTCTGGACTCCCGTTTCAAGCATCTAAAATTCTTCATCAGCCACTTGACTCTTTCTCAATTAGAAGATAAGGGAAATTGGGGTAGTCCTTCAGTGTGGTTACTTATGAGCTACAGTAAACTCTAGTTTTGGTAAACTGTGCAGGTAATTCGCTTAAAAGACTTATTTTTGTGATTCGCTTTTGGACAGCGATGCAGTTAATGTAACAAGGTTGATACTAAAATACTGTCCAAGCTAATGCTCCATGAACAGAGCTGTTCACCTTGAGCAATTGTTTTGTGATTCACAAAATAAGGCATGACTACCTTCGTGTGAAGGGTGAGTATGTCCTGGGTGAGGCTCCCTGAGACCTGGAGGTAAAAGCAGAAGAGTTTGTTTTCACATGATAGGGATGCTCACTTCTGAAACATGTGAAAGTTAGGTTTAAACCCAAAGAAGATGGAGATGGGAGTAACAGCTTGAATGGTGTTTCAATGGTGTGCTGGAATTGTAAAGGCAAACTCTCTCTGCTCCTGTTAAAAATCCGTTTTTACAAAGAGGCTTTTCTGTAACCTGCAGGAGGTGCAAAAAGTGCATAAGGATCATCCTTATGCCAAAAACCACACTTGCTCCTCTGTTGCTGAATGAACCAGGTTGCCCTGATGTATCTGCAGAGAAGTGGGGTTAGGAGTCTGATATGAATAGCAGACTCCTCAGCCATAAACTTTCTATGTACAGTGGAATATCCTTTTGCTCTTAGCTACAGGTGTTTGCAGAAAGGGGCCTAAGCATTGCCCCTGCATCTCAGTCCTGGTGACCTTGGGCAGCTCTGTGCTCAGCTTAAACATCCCCTCCTGAAGCTTGGGAGTTTCAAGGTCTGTGTTATCAGGACAGAATCTTTCTATGAGGTAGTAACTTTAACAATACTTTGTCTTTATTGCCACAATGCAGTAGTCTTCAAGGGTTTTGGGTTCTCCTATGTAAGTTCTTGGACAATCCATAGGTTATACCTGTGAAAACAGTATATTGCATGCTTGAGTGAAGAAGCTGTGAATGTCTGGCCAGATGCTGGGGCTGCCACAGCTCCATTTCTCCAGGGTATTATCCCTTTTCTTCTGTACCAGCTCTTGGGCCCCTGCATCTGACATTGCTAGATTGTGTGCCAAGGTGGAGGGTCTCTGAGGAAAGGGCTGTGAGGGCTGGCAGCTGATGGTGATTTGGGAGGGGATGAACACAGCTAGTAGGATGGATGCCATACTGCATGGAGAGGGGGGAGATCCTTGATGAGACAAGACAGCCCTTTCTCTGAGAGAAGGAACACTTTTAATTACCTGCATACATTTGTTTTGCGGTTGTCAGCAGTACTGCTTGTGAGGCATCAGTGTTGTTTTTCACATATAACCTGCAGATTATATGTGTTTAAACAAAAATAAACATCAAGACCTCATTTTTACAGTGGTCAGCAATGCAATGAGTGGCTGTATTCCTGAATCTTTGTAATTCAGTCCTGTCTTCCCAACAGGAACTGCCCCAACATGACAAGGCAAGGAGTGAAATGCTTAGATGTGACAGCAAGGGCTGCATGTGTTTCTTAAGTATTGAATCAATTGCCTAGCCTATGTTCTTGCTGTTCATTTGGTTATTACATCAGTTAGGAACACTGTATAATACCTCAAGTGAAAACTCGGGTATCTGAGGATTTTACAGAATGGCGCTAGTTCAATATGCTGACTGGGTTTATGCCCTGGCTTGGACTGAGTATTGAACCCATGAGCCTTTAGAGAAGGAACTGTTTCCTTAGCAGAAGGAAAGACAGTAACTTTTTGCAATTATCCTGTCTCTAGCTGATACTTGTTTTCTGTACTCCTTTCTGGTATTGGTTTGATTTGCAGGGAATTTATTTCTGAAACTGATTGAAAGATGTCTTTTCCTGAAGCTCTGTATGAAGTCCTCAAGTTGTACGCCTAGATACTGCCTGACTTTCTGAAGACTTTTCTGGTGATCAAGTGAGTGGCCAGATAAGCATTACATATATTTAAAAAGTGGAGCTCTGCTTATCTCTAACCTCCCAATGGACTTTTGCTCCTGAAATCGATAGCCTGAATTAAAAAGAGCAAAGATAAAAGAAAATAATCTCTTATTCAGAGTTCTGCATAGGGATTTGTTTTTCTCCACTTCCTTTTCCCAGATGCTTTATCGTCTCTGGAGATCTCTCTTACTACCTTTGAGGGTGTACAGTTCATATTTACTTTGTCGTTATACCTTAACTGTCAGAACTGCTCCGAACTGGTGCAATGTTTACAAACATTTAGTGATTGTATAGTTCTTGCTTGTGCCTTAGGTGGGGAAGCTAATAACCGGGATAACAGCAAGGTGATGGTAACAAAAATGAATGAAAAAGGTAAAAACTGCACATCCATCTCAGATGTTGCAATCCCCCAGAATAATAGTTGATTACTGGCAAGACATAGAAGACAGCACTACTTTTGCTGTGATGGGATGTCTGGAAATCTGAAGTAGACTTGCTTTGGAGCTTGAGTCAAGGTCTCTTTTCTGTGGCTCTTTCTTGCAACAGATTCTTTCATCAGCCCCACAGTCTTGCTTTTCCTTTTTCAGTCATACTACTGGCTTACTCAGTTTCATGGTGTTTCCCTTTCCATGCAGCACTAAGTTGGTAGTAGCTGACATAGGTTCAGCAGGCAAGGCAAACTCTTGTGAGGAAAGCCCTTGGGCACCATTAGGATAGCTGGCAGCAAGGCATTTCTGCTTCAACTGCTTTGTCCTCCTAGAGAATATACTTGAACTTTTGGAAGTTCCTTGGTTTGGGCTGCAGCTGGAGAGATGTGAAATCTAGTTTCTTATTTTGATGGGCTGAGCACAAGGCTTGCATCCCTCAGCATCACTTCTGCTGCTGTGGTACTTAGTGTTCATTTCTCCTGTACCAAGTGTGGCTGCTGAGGGAGCTTGCTTGCCTTGCACATGCCTGAGTTTTGGTTTAAGGTTCCCATGGAAAGTGACTGGTAAAGGATATATGAATGAGACTTCTGTCAGATGGATTTGGCCAGCCATATGAGTGCTAGTCCTTTGGTTTTCCAAAGGAAAGCATAGTTGCATCCAATATTCAAGCAGTGTGTGGCAACCCTATGTAGATCTGTTAGCAGTGGATTTGCTGCTCCTCAACAAGAAGACCAGTGTCCTCTCAGGACAACAGGCAGCAGCAAAGCTAGGTATGTGCTGCTTGTTACCAGTGACTAGTCATCTTCTAGATCTTGCTGCAGAACCACCTGATGCTAACAGAGGTTTGTGAAACTTCTCTCACTGATTGTAAGGGGTGTCCTGCTTGGCTGTGTGGTGGGTGGTGGTGTGGGGAGCATGTGAGGGGCTGTGCTGGGAGCCCAAGTTGGGATGTGCTGATGACGATGTGCTTTGTGACTCAGCACTTCCTGGCTCATCTTTTGGATCTGCTGGACCTCAGAATGAGGGGCCATCAGAATCCTAGGATTAATTCCACTGCTTGGAGGGGAGCCACTTACTGTTTTATAGTTCTGCTGAATGTCTTATGCCATTAGTTCAGATATCAACAAGAAGAATAAAAGCTTGTCTGTGGTCATTTTTCTCCTTACTGTCTCTGGAGAACCAGAGTAGGTTTAATGGGTGAGAGCCAGAGAACATCTGTTCTTCCTGGAAAATTTCCTTAAACAGCCAGTTCTTTTATTTTACTTTGTGTGTATGCTCTGCAGGGAGTATTTATGGGTCATCTGGGCAATGTAAGGTGACTATTGACTGCTATGGCAAGTGAATCTACTGTCTAGAATGTACAGGTAGCGTTGTCTAAACCATGAGATTTTAATTTAAAATGGCTAGTCAAGCTCTTGCTTTATAGGGCTTCAGATCAGCTCAGTAGAGTTATCACTTGTAACTTAATTTTTTCCAAGGTAAACTGCTGTTGGTCTAGATTTAGAGGTATGTGAATAATATATAGTTACATTGCTGATTTATTACTATTTTATAGTATTGCTGTATTTGTGAGTATTTATTACTAGGTGTAAAAATAGAAAATGTGTTTAGTTCTTCCTTTTGGAGACAATTGGTTGTTGCAAGCTACTGCTAATAGAGTTCCCTGAACCTGCTGGATCTGGTATGCACACAGCTGAGTGGTAATTCTGTCACATCAGACCAGGTCAGCGTTAT